GGCCGCCGAGCCCGACCCGCGGCGCCGCCTGGAGATCGTCTTCGTGTCCTCGGACCAGGACCAGCGGCAGTGGCAGGACTTCGTGCGGGACATGCCTTGGTTGGCGCTGCCCTACAAGGAGAAGCACAGGAAGGTGAGTGGCGAGGGCCTCGTCGGCGAGCCCGACTTGGCTGAAGCGTGCAGCCCGCGCGTTCTCGGGAGCCGGTCCTCAGCGGCCCCCGCCCGCCCGCCCGCCGACCACCGCACGGTCTCCTGCCCAGCTCCTCCATCTCTGCAGGCGCTTCCTTTCCTATCCTTTAGTGTCCCCTGCCTCCGCCCGCCCCCTTTCCCAGGACCCCTCCCGGTTGGGGCTACCCAGACAACTCCTCAGTGTCCCTGCCAGGCCGCGCTTGCGGTGCTAAGTTTGACACCCTGACGCTCCGGGACCAGGCTCCTGGCCGGAGGAGTGGAGCGCCCAGTCCCCACACGTTGGGGAGCCTCTCTTAGGCTGTTCTTCGGGGTCCCGGTTCCGTGACCCCCACCTCTTCCTGCGGCGCAGGGAGGGGCCGCTTCCTTCCTTCAGCCCCTGGACTCCGTGCGGATACCTGTGGTGGGTGGGGGAGGGCGCCAGCCCCCTACCCATAATGCCCAAACCAGGAAGTTTCCTTTCTTTCGGAGAAAATCTGCTTTCTTGGGGCTCCCTCCCACCGGGACCGCGGACCTGGAGGCCGAGGCTGAGGTCCGCGCGCGCCCCGCGCCCTGGGCAGGCGGTCACTGACAGGAGCTTTGGGCGTGAAGAGCGCTCGCTCACCTCCCCTTCTCCTTCCCTCCGCCTCTCCCCCGCCCTTGCTGAATTAGTGGCCACCAGGGAGCTTTTCATTGTCTTGCTGTCCAGCTATCCTCCCAGATGCCTCCCAGGCGCAGGAACAGCCCGGTCCTTGCACATCTTGGTTACTGGTGGGTCACTCTTGCCTTGGCATACTTCGCATTTCATGCTGAACTGACCTGGCCCTGTGGTGCAGATTGGCCAGAATGAGGACTCTTGAGGGAAACTGATACTTCACTGCCAACTTATTCCTTCTAGTTTGCCGCTGAAATGACCCACCTAGGCAGTGGTCTGGGTTTTTGCCTGTGTCTGTTGTTTGAATAAACCTCAGGCATTTTTGACATGAATTGAAACTGAAAAAGTTTTGGAACTCTCCTGTTTAGTGTGCCCGATGCAACTGATCCAGCCCCTTTCCTTTCTGAGGATAATTCCGGTTTATGGATTGGAAGGGAGAAGGGCTCTTCTGGAGATGTTTAGGCTTCTCCAGGGAGGATGGTAAAGACGTGCCATGTGTTTCTTTTATGTGTACAGAATCTTGTTGAGAAGCATGCTTTAGATTTTGTGAGAGCAAAGGGCTTATACTGTGACCCCATATGTCTCAAGTAAATCATCCATCCCCTAGCAGTCCAAGGTGCAGACTTGGGATTTCAAGGATGAAATACAGCTTAACAAATACAGTTTAGAATTATGACATGGGAAAACATGAGCTCACTAGCCATTCAGAGGCAGACTTAGCATTGTAACCACCTCTTAGGTGATTTTGCACATATTTGATGTATATGCTTGATAGTGTATGAATAAGAAAGGCCAGTCCTTTTTTTTTGCTTTTAAGACATGGGAATCCTTTGTTTTCCTTGAGCGATTTATCCAAAATTATTTTCATTGCTATGGGAAGTTTCTATTGTGTACACCAAAGTCTGTAAAATAATGTCCTTATTGGATAATACATGTTATGATGGTAAAATGGTATATAGACTGAAAGCCTGTTGTGTTTTTCACAGTGAGGTAAATTAATTTGCTCATAGTACAAATGTGTAGCAAAATGAGATGTTTTGTAAATGCTTCATGCTTTTCCTCAAAAAAGAGATGGTTTCATCTGACATAGGTCATTCCTGTTCTCTGTGTGGTGGCTTGTCCCTTTGCATGAACAAAGGTGTTCTGTGGCCCTAGCCTGTGCCTGCCAAAATCTACTAGGACAACAGCCTGCGTCAGACACTTACTCGAAAATACAATTCAAAATGCTGCACATGCCCAGCATGGTATGTTAGCATATAAACATTTAGTTTTTGCTCAGTGTTTCAAAGTCATATCACATAGTTCACTTTGTTCTCTGAAATAAATTGTTTTCAAGCTCATGGTTTTCATGATTGTATGTTGTGGATAGATATAGGTCTGTCCTAGAAACATTTAGATGTGGTGTTGTACCAGGCAGAAAAGACGCCAGCCGTGTGTCTGGTGGAAAAGACACTCCTGAAAATTGTAAAAGCTGTGTACTTACTTTGAAAGGAATTATTTTCCTCCTCGAAACCAAGAAGATGTATAACAAACTCCTTTTCTGTAACTTTGCATTTTTGCCTCTCTTGTTTGAAATTGGGGTGCTTAGAAGTCTATGAGTTTGTGATACCAGTTCCATGATAAGAACAGTGAAACACCCAGGACACCCCCAGTTCAAGGTGCTAGTTTGGCTGGACTTTTACTTTCTTGTTAATGGATTCTGTCCATGTTGTTACACCACCCATACAAATAGCCTTAAAGAAGAGAATTTTGTTTTATGCTAAAGAGAAACCAAAGTGCCACTTACTTTTTTTTCCCCCTAAGCTCTCATTAACATTTGTTCTTTAAAGCCATTTGTGTACTTCTTCCCTTTGGGATAACAAAGGATATGGTTCAAATTAGTTATTGGCTGGCATTTCTCTAAAGAAAATTGAAAAATTATGGTGGGAAAAGAAAATGCTGTGTGGTATTTTTTTTCTTCTTTTATTAATTTACCCCTCTAAAAGTCTGAGGATGACCGTATATGTTAAACTTGTATTTTGCTCAACTCCTCTCACCTGATTGGAGCTTTGAGAAGACATCAAATAAAAGGATTCCAGAATCTTTAAAATGAATTCTTTGTGGAAAGTTATCTTGTTTCAGCTTGTTTTAGTAGTAGGTGCAAAAGTAATTAAAGCTTCAATTTTTGGCTTCCAAACACACACGTATAAATAGCTGTGTAGAAATTATAATTATATGATAATAGAACTTTGAGGACATTTATAAGAATAGTTTTGTCAGGAAACATAATCCTTAAGTGAAGGCAGTTAAACTTCTTTTTTTTTTAATAAGTAGGTTTGGTTTGTTGTGGACACTTCTCAGACTTATGGAGCAAATATGATGAGTAGCTGGAAAGTGGTGAAGACTTGAACCTTTGAGATTTGGTCTATCTCTTCGGATTCCTTAGTTGTCAGTACTGGAGGGTTGACCTCCAGGGTCTGCTTCAGCATCATAGAGGAGAACACTGGTTTGTATTTGAAAGCCACAGGCCTCTGCTTTGTCTGGACTAGATGCCTGATGGAAAACATTTGGTCGTTGTGGGTGTGTGGACATCAAAGAACACAGGACCACTCACTGCTCTTGCTCTCAATAGGTTTGCTGGGGTCTGGCTCAGTCCCAGAACTTCCAGCTTGATAGAAACAGGAAGAGAAAATTGGGTGGGGGAGTGGACAATGAAAAGGCTCTGTCTTAGGAGCTTCTGGGTTGGTGAACATACAAAGCTTTGGGGGAGAAGGGTGCTCTTGGAGAGGGGTTGAAGCTCCAGGCCTTTCCCCCATACTTTGCCTTGTGCATCTTTTCCATCTGGCTATCACTGTGTTATAGTTTTTGTATTAAATCTGTGATCTATATTGCTTTGCTGTGTGGGGTCTTTTGTGGTTCCATACAAATTGTGGTGAAACTGGACAACCACATACGAAAGAATGAAAAGAATGAAATAACCCATTATCACACCATAAAGAAGAAAATAATTCACACTAGATCAAAGACTTGTATGTAAGACCTGAAACCATAAAATACATAGAAGAAAACATAGCTAGAACACTCCATAACAGTTGATTCAGTGATGTCTTTAGGGACTTGACTACAGTGAGAAGGGAAATAAAAGCAAGAATAAACGAACTTCATCAAATTAAAAGTCTTCTACATAGGCAGCTCTTCTGCCCGCCTATGACTGTGCCTGCGTTTTCCTTCACCAAGCGTCTCCTTTGCAAAGCAGCAGAGGCAGCCCCACCCAAGACTGCCCACCTGTGACTATGTAGGTGTCTCTTTTAACAAATCTGCCCCTTTCAGGGGCAGCACCTGCCGCCCACTTACTTGTGTCTGAGGGTGTGAGCATGGGTAAGAGAGGAGCCCCACCCACTCAGGCCCATCTTCTTCCCTTTCCCTTTTCTTGTCTAATAAACCTGTCCTTGTGGATATTTAAAAACAAGACAAAAAAAAAAAAAACAACAAACTTCAAACTTCTGCACAGGAAAAGAAGCTATCATTAAAACAAAAAGACACCTTGCTGAATGGGAGAAAATATTTGCACAACATACATCTAACAAGGTGTTAAAATACAAGTTCTGGCCCTCCCTGGTGGCACAGCGGGTTAAAGCACAGCACAAAGAAGCTTAAACCACTTCCTCATGTGTTCGATCCTCGCCTGCCCCAGAGGTGACCGCATGGCGTAGCAGACCTCTCCTGACCAGCCCGCTGCTCCCCTCAGCAGTGTACTTCGTCGATCTGCCTGTTCTGCTCCCCGCTCTTTCTTGGGTGAATCCTCTCACCCTCCGCATCTCTGGCCTGTACCCTAGTTCTGTATGAATAAATAAATAAATCTTAAAAAAAAATACAAGTTCTTCAAAGAAACTCATACTGTTCAACAACAAGAAAACAACCCAATCAAAAAATGGGCAGAAGAGTTTAGTAGCCACTTTTCCAAAGAAGACATACAAATGGTCAACAGACACATGAAAAAATGTTCATCATCACTTACCAGGGAAATGCAAATCAAAACCACTGTGAGGTCCCATCTCACACTGTTAGAGGGACCCATATCAAAATAACCAGGAACAAGTCTCAGCAAGGGTACAGAAGAAAGGAACCTGTTGTGGGGATGTAGACTGGTCCAGCACCCATGAAAATAGTATGGGGGTCTCCTTGGTGGCGCAGGGGTTAAAGTCACCGCTATAAAGCTTTACCCAGCTTGGCAGCAGGAGTTTGATCCCCGGCCTGGGAGCTGACCTGCATGGTGCAGCAGGCCTCACCTGTCTCACCTGCTGCTCCCCTCAGCAGTGTATTTCAGTGGCTCT